GCTGCTTTGCCTCCAGCCCCCTCCCCTTTTGATGTTTTTCTTGGCGAGTATCTGTGCATTTCTCCACTGAGGTTGTCAGTGTGATGGTGCCTGGTGAATGCCACTCAAATGGTTGTCAAGGTTACCTTCTAAGTTTGCTTGCAGCTCCCTTCAGTTTCACCAGGCACCATCCCCACACCCATCTAATGTTGATAGTTTAATAATTATTAATAAATTCTTCAAGGAGAACTAGACATTTAGTAGGGGCCATTGTGTCACCTTACACTGCAGCAACTGTTGATTCCTTTATTTACAGTGATCTTCATATGTTTTAAGCCTAATGCGTTAATTTAATGTGATTATTTTAAAATCCTCCCATAACTCATTGGGTAAATAAGGGTGCCATCCTCACAGCTAAAATTCTTCTGTTGATCAACATACAAATTCTCCACACTGACTCCCATACATTGCATTGAAAAATTGGTTGAGAGAATCCTTCACCGATCATTTTAATAATTCCTGTAGCCTTTCTTATTGATTATAAGCTGATATTGTTAGGAGAAAATTGGTATTAGTCCAGGGTTTGCAAATTTTATTGATGAGTGGAGTCAGTGTGACTTCTGCTTCACAAATTTCGGAGTCATTTTGGAATATTTGGAGTCAAGTATCACAACGAAAAAAGCCAAATTCAGACTTTCCAGCATGTGGTCCGGGCGTGTATAAACTATCGTGAAGGATACACGAAATAGCTGTGGCAGTCCGCTGACCTGGAAAGCTCAAATCCATGATGGCCGTCATCGAGTAAACTTTGATCGTAATTTACCCCCTTCCTGTTTTGCCGTGCAGTATAATTCTCTAATTTCGATGATTTAATTAAGGTTTACAACGTTTACAATAAACGTAAATTGTATTTGTTGCGAAAAAGGTAAGAACAAAACTATGTTTGTTACCGAAAATTTCTGGAGTCGAAGTGACTCCCTCCATAACCTCAGTGGAGTCATGTGAACAATTTTGGCGTAAAATACGCCAAATTTGGCATATTTGCGAACCCTGTTAGTCACTCTTAAGACTTAAAGGGTTAATAAAATGAAACCCATTTGCACTTTTTAGGGTCCCAAAAATTCAGTTTTTCCCAAAGGCGCAGTTCAAATGTCAAACCCCATGCCTTCAATCAAGTACATGAAGAGATCAACATTTAAATCATTTAATTCCTCCATATTTAATTTGGGTCAACCCATGAATTAAGATCAAGTGGCCTACAGGGGAATTTCGACTGTGGAGCAACTTTATTTCAAACATCGAAGTTCTTAAGTGCCAAACCTAATTCACAAATTACAATAATTTATTTCCCGTGGTAAGCATGGTAGACCATGGTACATGGTGAAAATGAATTGAGTCCGACTGATTAAGTTGGATGTCTGAATCTGGTCGACCAAAATAGGAATTACAAGAAAGTTCAGTACATGAAAAGTGCGACATTTGAACTAGGCTTAAGAAGTCTCCCAGGCTTCTCCAGTAGAAGGGGAATGATCTCCCCCTTGTACACCTAACGCCACACATGAGCACCCTTTAATCTAATCTAATGTCGCCTCCTTACATAATTTTTTTCCTCTTCTTTAAATTTTCTCCAGACAACTTGGTTGCATTACCNTCGAAGTGACTCCCTCCATAACCTCAGTGGAGTCATGTGAACAATTTTGGCGTAAAATACGCCAAATTTGGCATATTTGCGAACCCTGTTAGTCACTCTTAAGACTTAAAGGGTTAATAAAATGAAACCCATTTGCACTTTTTAGGGTCCCAAAAATTCAGTTTTTCCCAAAGGCGCAGTTCAAATGTCAAACCCCATGCCTTCAATCAAGTACATGAAGAGATCAACATTTAAATCATTTAATTCCTCCATATTTAATTTGGGTCAACCCATGAATTAAGATCAAGTGGCCTACAGGGGAATTTCGACTGTGGAGCAACTTTATTTCAAACATCGAAGTTCTTAAGTGCCAAACCTAATTCACAAATTACAATAATTTATTTCCCGTGGTAAGCATGGTAGACCATGGTACATGGTGAAAATGAATTGAGTCCGACTGATTAAGTTGGATGTCTGAATCTGGTCGACCAAAATAGGAATTACAAGAAAGTTCAGTACATGAAAAGTGCGACATTTGAACTAGGCTTAAGAAGTCTCCCAGGCTTCTCCAGTAGAAGGGGAATGATCTCCCCCTTGTACACCTAGCGCCACACATGAGCACCCTTTAATCTAATCTATTGTCGCCTCCTTACATATTTTTTTCCCTCTTCTTTAATTTTTCTCCAGCCAACTTGGTTGCATTACCCGGGGGGGGGGGGGGGGCACTTCCTTATAAAAGGCTAATGGGGATGTGCCGCTGGATAGGGTTGCATTTTTACGCCTGGTTTGACTAAAATGGGTTTGCATTTGCAATAGAATTACTACATTACTAGTCACATTTTCAGATTTTTTGGGCAAGAAAGTTGTTCACATTTATGGTTAGCAAATGTACCAGAATATTTGTACTGTAGGTGAAAAGTAAAGTGTTCTGATTCAGTTTATTAAAAAATGGGATGACCTATTTAACGGATTGATAAGGTAGATACATAAACAGAAAGTGACTAAGTTGGGATCGCAAAAATTACATATTTGCCCAAAAGTGACTAAGATGGGGTCTTCAATTGGCCACAAAATAGACTATAATGGGGTAGGGGCACTGAGAGGCCAGCGGCACACACCCAGCAAAAATTAACCCAAATAACTCCCCCAGGTTGCGTTGTGGTTACGTTTGGATTGTCCCATTTGTAAAATTATCCTGGATGACGTGCACACAGATCTAGATCCAAGTATTTCATACCTTGGAGATTCTCTTGTCCCTTTCCAGGGAATCCGCGCGGAGGTGAAGTTTTATTGACAGGCTGAGAGACAGACTTATTTACAGCCTGCTTCATCATTCTTGGGGGAACAAACCGATTTGTAACACCACTCCGAGGTGCTGCAGCAGATGCCGTAGGCCTCTGAATCAAAGTATTTGTATTTGCAGGTACCGGTGTTACTGATTTGGCAACAGCTCGTGCCACATGTCTTGCAGCTGCACGGTAAGTCAAACTGGAAACAGCGACTGGTCTGTAGCTTGCAGCACCTATGGGTCTATTTAAAGCTAATGGTCTATTAATAGTAGGCCTTCTTGACTGAGGCCTTCTAGAAGGGTTAGCTGCACCCTTTGAACGCTTTTTCGGTTTCCTCTGTTTTGCGATCAATTTTGCAACGTGTTGGTCAGATTCACTAGCGACTCCCTTAACAATAAATTCTCCATCCACGTCCCTTGTTAGTGCAGCTACATGAGGAATGCTTTTAATGTAAGAGTCCAGCGTAGGAAAGCCCAACTCTGGGTGAGGAATTGACGAATAAGTTATGGTACTGTACTCCTTGTTCAAGCGACGTAGAGGCACTCCACGAGGGCTGCTAATTAGAACTGCCCTCAACATTGCCTCTGTTTTCTTCTTGAGCTCCTCCATTTTACCGAATAGTTGTCTTGCAAAGTTATTAAGAATCTGGAGGGTCAAGAATTATAATGACAGGGTTATGAAGTCTCCGCAAAACCTGTGAAGGAAGCCATCGCGCGTAAATATGGCGCCTCCTGCAGAAGTATAGAACGTGAGGTACTGGAACTGAGGGCCACTTATTCCCCTCCATCCTCCTCTACTTCCATGTTGTTGTTTTATTTGCTTAATTTATTTACTTATTTTGTTCATCTTTTTGCCATTGTTTTCTCCTAAATACAATATTTTTAACCAAAAAAAAGTTCAGCCTTTGGTAAATGAAAAATGAAACAAACAGCGCTATAAATTAGCCCAACAAAACAATCCTTACCCATCCCTCACTCCTCTTTGTATTTTTTTTGCCTAATCGATCTCCCAGAGTTCTTTGCATTCGCTCGTCCTCTTCTGTCCTGTCCGTCCAAGATGGGTGAGTAAACTATGAAGTCGTTGAATTCAATCCATCCAATCTTGGTGAAATCAACAACATCAAGCGTTGTAGTTAAAACCGTTGTATAGAATAAACACCAAAGAAGTTGTAACTTGATTTTCAGCCCAGACCTGTGGCTCTGTGTTGAATATCTGGGATGTACTGTGCATGAGATACATTTCTCATATTGCCACCATTTCAGTTATTTTCGGGGTGCCTGCATTCCAAATGTTAATATTTTTCTGACATGTCTTTTGTCGCATAATAACATTCAAGGCTAAAACTGATTGTCTGTCGCTATTCTCCTATGCAGTACTTGGACATGTATGACATGAGGATTTAGTGTATCTTGTTGTTATTATGCGATTTCTTGATTCACGTGCTATTTTTTCCAGAATAAGCAGTAAAAGAATTCCCAAGCTTTCGGCTCAGATTTATATATTTCCAGCATATCGGCCTTTAATCTGATCATCACTCGCATTAAATCAAACAATTTTTTTCTTCTTGTAACGCATCTGTTAAAAAGCTATCTGTTCTTCCAAGTCTGCTGGACACACAGTCAACAGGACTTGACCATAAGGCTTTCCTGAGGATGGAGTTTTCTTCAGAGTATTTTACAGAAACTTTGCTTTATTACTTCTTCGTGTTTTGTTTTTGGCATTTGTTGTTTTGTTGCAAAATAAACATCCTTCACTTGCTGAAAATGGTGAAAATTTAATAAGCGCCCAGCCTCGAATAAGCGCCCACTCTCAAGGTCCAAAAGTTTAATTAGGGCCCAGGGCGGTTAATTGAATAAATACGGTATCTTATTGTGCAAACTGCTTGCATGTATGTCAAGGAGTTACGAGTTATTACACTCAGACATGAGTATGCTTCAACTGAGAGGTTGCAGGAAACCTTGAAATAGTTGATCGCAGTATAACAAAACCTGAGTAAACTTACATTCCCTTGACAATTGTGATATTTTAGGTCATTGTAGCAATATCGTGTTGCTTGAAAGCATATGATTGGATTGATACTGTATGCTCGTCTTTATATTTTAGGAATTTCCCGTGATTCTTGGCATAAGAGGCGAAACACTGGTGGTAAGAAAACAGCAATTAGAAAAAAGAGAAAGTATGAGCTTGGCCGACCACCAGCAAATACTAAGGTAGGGTGGAAAAAGAAAAGACTCTTTTTTTTGTGAGATTTCTTTTTCTGGAATGATTGCTGATTACATATTAAGGGTGGGTTCATTGGCAACATACACGTATAGCTGTCACCTTTGCCTGTCGATATTTTTTACTGTTCTTAGGCTTAGGCTCAGCAAATTAACTTGTTTTCAAAGGCCAATGATTATAGAGGTGAACGTGTCCTGAGACATGTAAGCAGTAAAATTCCCTTCTGTCTGGAATTTATTTACACTAGCATTCATGTGTTGAATTAGGCTGTGTTGGTGTTTGCTTGCAGCTTGGAAGTAAGCGTATTCACAATGTACGCACCCGTGGAGGAAACCAAAAGTTCCGAGCACTGAGACTGGATACTGGCAACTACTCTTGGGGCTCTGAAAGTATGTGCTGATTTATATTACAGTGAAACCTCTATTAAGCGGACACCTTCAGGACCTTTCCAAGTGTCCACTTAATAGAGGTTGTAAAAATTGTGCAATGTTTGTTAACGATCAACATTCAATGGTTACTCTGTACTGTGATAAAGTTGCGTGTTGTTAAAGAAGCTATCCAGAGTTCAAGTTCATTATCTTTCATTGCCAACTTTAATTTGTTTGTAAAGGCAAAAACATTAACTGATTTCAGTCCATATTTCAAGGACGTAATCCAATACTACTATTGTCAATTCAGTCCAGTGTCCGCTTAATAGAGGTTTTTAACAATAGAAATAGCCAAATACACCTTATTTTAGTGTCTGTGTCCGCTTAATAGAGGTGTCCGCTGAATAGGGGTTCATTATAAAGGGAATTATAAGACATTAATTTCGGGACCTGGCTCAGTGTCCGCTTAATGGGGGGTCCGCTTAATAGAGGTTTCACTGTATATTCATTTACAAGGCTGTCACTTAGATTTTAACCCTTTAACCACCTAGAGTGATCAACTTCAATATTCTCTTAACAATAGCCGTACATCATTAGAGAAAAGTTTATGAGAAGTAATAAAGTAATCACCAAAATGGAAATGCTTGATGCTTTAAGTTGTCTGTTGTCTTACCTTTACCAACCCTTTGAGAATATTGAATTTTTTGTGTTCCCAGCATATTGCCAAACATAAGCTTCCAAGGGCAACATGATGAAACTATTTGGTGGAAGAGTGTGTTGCTGTTTTGGCAATTACATCACTCTTGTGACCATATTTGTCATAGTTACACTGATTGCCCCCCTCTCCAAATATTACTTTTCCACAATACAAATTGCTTTTCTTTTAGCTGTAAAATGTAAGTACAATATCAACATAGTAGATTTTTATGTATACTTTGTTTAACTATCCTAGTGTACAACTTACATTGTCTGTCCAGTTGTGTTCCCAACATATTGAAAAATTTTGGCTTGGGTGGCCAAGCTAAAGTACATGTATAAAAATTAAAATAGCAAGTTTGCAGAGAATTATTATCCCCGTCTGTGCTTGTTTGAGATGATAGTTGGAAAACTGTTCTCATTGTGATTAGTACTGTGCAATAACATGTATTTTCGTGAGAGGGACGCATCAGATTGTCCTCATTACCCAGAGTGGTAAACCTTATGACAAAGGTGTCAATGGAATTCTTATTAACTTTTTACCTGACAGGCTAGCTTATGTTTGATTGTTTGTTTGTTATGCTCATGTATAGGCGTGACCCGCAAGACCCGTGTCATTGATGTGGTGTACAATGCAAGCAACAATGAGCTGGTGCGAACTAAGACTCTTGTAAAGAACTGCGTTGTTCAAGTAGATTGGGTTAGCTGCACCCTTTGAACGCTTTTTCGGTTTCCTCTGTTTTGCGATCAATTTTGCAACGTGTTGGTCAGATTCACTAGCGACTCCCTTAACAATAAATTCTCCATCCACGTCCCTTGTTAGTGCAGCTACATGAGGAATGCTTTTAATGTAAGAGTCCAGCGTAGGAAAGCCCAACTCTGGGTGAGGAATTGACGAATAAGTTATGGTACTGTACTCCTTGTTCAAGCGACGTAGAGGCACTCCACGAGGGCTGCTAATTAGAACTGCCCTCAACATTGCCTCTGTTTTCTTCTTGAGCTCCTCCATTTTACCGAATAGTTGTCTTGCAAAGTTATTAAGAATCTGGAGGGTCAAGAATTATAATGACAGGGTTATGAAGTCTCCGCAAAACCTGTGAAGGAAGCCATCGCGCGTAAATATGGCGCCTCCTGCAGAAGTATAGAACGTGAGGTACTGGAACTGAGGGCCACTTATTCCCCTCCATCCTCCTCTACTTCCATGTTGTTGTTTTATTTGCTTAATTTATTTACTTATTTTGTTCATCTTTTTGCCATTGTTTTCTCCTAAATACAATATTTTTAACCAAAAAAAAGTTCAGCCTTTGGTAAATGAAAAATGAAACAAACAGCGCTATAAATTAGCCCAACAAAACAATCCTTACCCATCCCTCACTCCTCTTTGTATTTTTTTTGCCTAATCGATCTCCCAGAGTTCTTTGCATTCGCTCGTCCTCTTCTGTCCTGTCCGTCCAAGATGGGTGAGTAAACTATGAAGTCGTTGAATTCAATCCATCCAATCTTGGTGAAATCAACAACATCAAGCGTTGTAGTTAAAACCGTTGTATAGAATAAACACCAAAGAAGTTGTAACTTGATTTTCAGCCCAGACCTGTGGCTCTGTGTTGAATATCTGGGATGTACTGTGCATGAGATACATTTCTCATATTGCCACCATTTCAGTTATTTTCGGGGTGCCTGCATTCCAAATGTTAATATTTTTCTGACATGTCTTTTGTCGCATAATAACATTCAAGGCTAAAACTGATTGTCTGTCGCTATTCTCCTATGCAGTACTTGGACATGTATGACATGAGGATTTAGTGTATCTTGTTGTTATTATGCGATTTCTTGATTCACGTGCTATTTTTTCCAGAATAAGCAGTAAAAGAATTCCCAAGCTTTCGGCTCAGATTTATATATTTCCAGCATATCGGCCTTTAATCTGATCATCACTCGCATTAAATCAAACAA